AATAAGCATAGAGGCTATTGGAATGAATAAGGAGAAGAGAGCATCAAAGTGAGCCTAAATGGGTTCTCTGGAAGAAGAACTAGGAATCCTGAAGCCAGGGAAGGTGGAGAGGAAGATAAATTATTTTACAATCCCCATGCTAGAAAAGGAAGATCTAATTCCTTTGAAACTATCCCCTCACCACTTCCCCCCCTCCAACAATACGGGGGGCCCTCATGGTACAAAAGGGCTTCCACAATGTCCACATCAGATTTACGTAGACTCAACTTTATTTATCACTTGGTATTACTCCCTCAGGGAAGGAGTAATCCCAAAGGATAAATTGTTATCTTGATTTTATCAAGTGATGATGAGGTTTGTTCGAATAGATCATTTATAAATAGTATTTCTTTAGTCTGTGTAAATTTAGATTGTTCATAGGCCTAAATTGCCATAAACTACATTCGAGCATATTGGCGATCTCTACAGTCACTAATTTGTCAGCTCTGTGCTGCTGTACCAAAAAGATGTCTCCTCCATACATGGGAGACGTTCTCCCATGTATGGAGGCAGACCGGAGACCCCTTCCTATGTTAAATATAAAAGCTATTTCTAAGACAAAGCAAACATAAAGATTGAGACTTTCAGTTTATAGATTAAAATAAATAACACCCATGTATATATTATATTACATTTCTGTCCGTTAATCTCTGTAACTATTACACACTATAGCTTTAAGTTGAGGTTAATACCTTTTTGGTTGGTACTTTGGTAGAGGTATCATGATTTGGGATTTTGTTGGATCTTTATACTGATAAATTATTAATTTTGTACATTTTTCTTATAAAGTTTGAAAACACTTTCAAGCTTTTTGTTTTTGTGGAAATCCAATATTTGTTATGTTGAATATTAAAACAAATCCCTCATCCTATATAGAGAAGGAGTAGGTAGTCTGATAATACTGTTAAGGTATATTAATTAGGAACCTCTTTGTTGCTATGAAACAGCTTTAACGATGAACACAGTTCTGCCCTGTATATAACTGTCTTTACTGTGCCACTGAGATTTATTTGTGTATGATGTGTGATTAATGTAAACATAGAGAAGTCTGAATGGATTTCCCCACAGAGTGAACAGCACTGGCAATAAAGCGGAAGGCGCTGGGCTTTGATCAATAGTGGAATAACCTCAGGAGGGGAAATTACACACATCCTTAATCTCAACAGTTCAGTTCCAGAAAAGGCTCTGAACCAAACACAGTATCCATTTAGACTTAAAGTTTTATTTTAAGGTGGGTCACGCTTGGTGATAATTGGCCCAGAGCTCTTATCCTTGAGGCAGCCTTTGAGATCTTTATTTGTTGCAGCCTCAATCCTTGAAAATCTTCAATCAAAGGTGATCGGATCCACAAGGGCTAGAGGAAGATAAAAGAAGTAGATCCCTGCAGTGTCACTATGTTTTAGCCGGTGGAGTACATGCAATAGGAAGGAACCCGAGGGATGGCTGCAGAGTCATAAATCACATTTTAAACTCAATCCAGAAAGCAGCCCTCTGGTGGTAAATACTTACAGTGTGTTATTTGTCCCCTTTTTATCATCAGCTTTTTTATGTATGTTCAAGCATGACTCTCCTTGCAGAGCATGCAGTACCTATCACTCTGTCTTTGCCATCGAACATATTACAATAAAAACATCCACATTTATTACAAGCACTGCTAAATAAACTGAAAATCTGAATAATAAATGATCCCAGCGAATCCATTTGGCTGTTATGCCAGATTAATTTGTTATAAATTCCATCATAAGTTGGAGAGTGGAGTCACCATCATCATGACTGATTGTGATTGTTTTGTTAGGAACTGCAGTTACAGTTGTGGAAAACAATAACTAAAAGTATTTGTATATATGGTGCTTCGGTGTTGGTTAGCACAGCCGCATTTCCCTTATAAAATAAATATATCCTCTTAAAGAATAGAATAAGTATAATTATATATATATATATATATATATATATATATATATATATATATATATATATATATATATATATATATATATATATGGAATGCAGTTGCTTTTGTATAAATTGTCTTTTTTTATATATATAAGTTGCCATATACTGAATGAACTGTGAATATATGGAATGTAACTGAATATATTCAATGAAACTTAAAGGTATAGCAGAGGATTTTTGCAAATTTTTGAAGAGACCCTTAGACTTAGACTTGAACAACTTTTTGCGACCCGTCCTCTCCACTTAAAAAAAAAAAACATGCACATGCACAGCCGTGTACTTGCTCCATAGTGGGAACGCCTATTGAACACGTGCGAGAACATGCATAAGCCAATTTCTCCTCGTGCACAGCTTTGTTTAAAAGTTGCTGTTTGCATCGCTCAAACAAACTTACTTTCCAAAAGAATATTTGTAAATTTTCCTCTATGTCAGACTCACCACCGGTAAGTGAAAATTGGGACGAGCACGTAGGGTGGCCTTATGTAAACATATTACTGACTGATTGACAATTAGGAGGATCGCTTAATTTAATGATCCACCCAGAAAACAAACATCCTCCACCATACCTTTATATATGTTTAGTGAAATATTTGGAAATAAAGTGGCCTCAAGGAATTATGGGCAATATAGTTTTCAAAAAACACGTATCAAACTGAATTTTCTTGGGACCATTGAAAGAACCATGTTTGGGATCTCGTTTTTCATTCTACCATATTTTTTAACACTCTCCTCACTAACAACTAGTGTTGCGCCGATGCCATTTTTTGGCACCGATACCGATACCTGGCTGTGCAGTATCGGCTGATACCGATACCATAATAATGTAAAATAATTGCGATCATGGCTCTGTCAAGCTGCTGCCTACCTTTGTGAAGCACGAAAAAATCCAGTAGAACTTTTTATTGCCTACCTGGATTGGATGACAATAGTTGAATAAACTTATGGCTCTCAAAATGGTATCGGTGCCCTATTTGTTGGTACTTGTCAATACCGATACCATCATTTTAGGGCAGTATCTGGGCCCTGTCCGATACTGGTATCGGTATCGGTGCAACACTACTTACAACCTTGGCCTATCTGATTATTTCCTTCTTCTTTTTTTTATAAATATTTACACTGCAGTTCTATTGTAAACAGTTAAAGCTTAGCAGAACAATGTATGTAAGAACTAACCAAAACACAGTAACTGTCCTGTACAAGGTGGCTTTCTCATTGTGTTCTAAAAACACTTTATCTGCTTTGACAGCCGTTGGTGGTCAGAAGGCCCAGTAATACTGCTTGTACGGTTGTCTGCCTCAGGGTAGCTGTGACTACATGTACCTTCCCACTATCAGAGTGTAAATCGGTGACTGACTAAATAAAGTGCAAAGCTCTTTGAAGTCCTTGGACTTAATAATGCACTATACAAGCACTGAGCATTTATTACTTAAGTATTATTAGGTGACTTATAAAGACTGCTTTTTATCAATAAAAGAAAACATGAAAATTATCTTTTCTTTCCACATCACTCTAACATTTAACAATATTTTACATTGGTGTTTTGCAGCTTTATTAAAAAAAAAAAATTCAAAACACCATGTATCACATTTCAGGTCAGTTTATTAACAAAACAACTTTTTAGAATGATTATCATCTAAAATTACTGTGCAAGATACACATATCCATGTTATTTTTATGTATATCTTCAAAAAACTGTCATGAAAATAACCACATAGAGGGACTTATGGGTGTTTGTTTGCATCATTGTTATTTTTATTATGCTTTGTTAAGCTTAGCTTTGTTCCCCTGCTCACTCCTCTAAATCAGCTTTTTAACATTGCCCTAATTAGAATCACCTGGATCCCATGTCATCAATAACTTCTGTTTTGGTGCATGAGCTTTCAATTTGCCATTTTTCTCTGCTAGTTCCTTCATTTTTTTTTCTTTCTGATTTTACATTGTGTTCTCTTTTGGCCTGAACTGTATTCTTTGTCATTTTTTGAAGATTTAAAACCTTCAAACAAGCATGCCTCCCCTAAGCACTTGTCTCTGTTTCTGTCCTACTTCAAACTCACAATAGGTGACCTTTTTTCCTTAAATTTCTGAGATTCCAATTATATTCATATCTTAACACAAAATAGCCATGTTCAGTTTACATTGCCAGTGGGCAAGAGGGTTTTCAATGTAAGAAAACCCAGTTAATGGCATTAAGCATGTTTGCTGCAACAGAAAAAAGAACATATGCATTTTAACAGCTTTTTTATTTTTCTTTCTGAAAAATTACATATTTATTTGGCAGCAGGAGTCACTCTTTTAGGTCTTTGTCTAGAAGATAAACAAAGTTAAACACAAAAACACAGGATTAAGTGCATCAATCATAGAGAGAGAACATTAGGTTATTGGCATAGATATTGGAATAGATCAGGTAATGCCCCCCCTAGGAAGTTTTACAGCCTAAAATTGCTACTGAAGTCATACAGATAGAAAGGATTGCTGCTGATTTTTCTTTTCTAATGAGAAATTACAGATAGAAATGTGTGACACAACAGCACCAGAAAAAAAAACTAATAGTTAATGGAGCAGATTTTTATTGTCTTATTTATTTGTTTTATTTAAGTCTGTAGTTAACTCATAATGTATGGCATTCTAAATCCACCGTTTTTGTTGCATTTTCCCAATTTTTTTTCCCCTTGCTCCCTTTTTCATTTTATATTTTTTATCATCCTAGCACCCTGGAGCCTTTTCCTCAACTGCAGTTTTTGTGCAATTGATTATGGAAGACTCCTCTTTAACATGGCTTTTTTTTCCCTTTCTGAAATCTCAATGCACACATACACACTCGTCCTTTCTTCACATCATAAACCATGCACTTGACTTTTTTGGCTGAAAATCTGTAAGCCGTTGCAGCATGGGGGGGAAGATACACACAAGGTTCAAATCCTAAAAGACAAGGGTGGGCGAAATGAGAACATCCAAGAGGAAACACGAAGCTTATAACATCCTTCACATCTCCTCTCCCAACCACACTGCCTCACTCGCTGTCTCTCTCTCTCTCTTTCCCTCGCTAACATGCACACAGACCCCCCTCTCGCATAGAAGTAGACAGAGAGCAGTGAAGAGCAGAAGGAGCTGGATGGCAGGAGGGAGGCAGGATGGTTGTTGTTGATTGAACAAAGCCAGGAAAGGAGCGCACAGTCCTGGGGAAAAGAGCAGCTGTGAAATGCCTTGAAGGGAGCCTGCCAGTTACTCCTGCACAGACCTGAAGGTAAGCCTCTGCTGTTGGAGGAAAAAAAAAATAGACAAAAGAGGGAGATAAAGCATGAGAGAGGAGGCTTTTAAAGCTGCTGATGCATGGTATGACTGTGGCACCACATCCAAGCTGCCCCCTTTACATTTGACTGCAGCTGGCATCGCATGCTGTTTCATCTCTCCAATCTTCTCTCCACTGAGTTGTCGGATACAAAGTGTGCATCACCTTACAGGGGATTAAAAACTGTGAGCGCCAAACAAGACAGTGACAAACAGTGAGAGGAGGAATGAGATTATACCAGGTAGTTCTGAAACAGGAGAGCAGGAAAATGAAAAGTGTTGATGAGAAAAGTACCCAAATTACCCTCCTCCATCTGCTCCAGCCCTTATCATCTCATCTTGCCCTTTTTTTATCTTATGCCTCTGCAGAGCTACATACATCACCTCTATGCATCCAGTAACTCTCGTGGCGGGGGCAGGGTAATCAAAAAGGCAATGAATCTCTGACGCAAGCGGAGAGGAGCCTGTCAACAGTCCTGGTGTTTGTGCCTGCTCGGGTGATGGGCTGTAGTTTTTTCAGTGCAATGCAGGAGTTTCCACAAGCGTGGCAAAACAACAGTCGACCCAGAGCGAAGAGGGATGTGCGTTATAGTTTGAGTCAGTTTGGGAGCATCTGTGTGATGCTACACGGCTTAAACTGCTTTTGTACCCTGCATGATTTTATTCATCCTAATAAATCAGTATTAAGTGTATAGTGGCATGGTGTAATGCCATGATAGCTGTTGGCAGTTTTGGTGAATATTTAAAACTTTAAAGAGACATTTAGAGATAATTTTTTGTCATTAAAACTAAATCCACCTCTTTAATATGTTTGCTTTGAGGTGTTTCTGCATCATAATTGGAATCATATTGTAGTGTCAGTTAGTGTCTGACATGCATAAGTACAATAGTCACAGAAAATTCAGTTTGGAAAACTGAGCAAACCTCAGGTGGGTAGATTAAATGTCGAAGTGATGCAAAGCAAAATCTGATTAGACTTCCTCTAAATGAAAGCTTACTAAAGATTGGGTATAAGTTACAGCACTCTCATGACTTTTTTTGTAATATTCTTTATTAAAACTATTTTATGATCAATCAGTGTTATTTTTTTTTATTTTAAACATGTTTGATGCTGCTGTTCTAACCCAATGTTCTGAAAATATACAGCATCTGGAAATTAGTTCATCCTAACCCGTCAGAAAGATCGACTTGTTATGGAAGCTTAGCAAATGTATTGGTTTTTCTGCAGACATTTCTTTTGCTAACCTAAAAGAGTAAATTGCTCCTAATGTGTAATAGGATGCTTTAGTGACCACTGTGCAGTTAGCATAGCAGCTTACATGGTTTTAATGAGAGAACTGTTGCAAGATGAACACCTGTTTCCTTTTATATGAATAAGGCATAGAAATAAAAATGATTGCATCAACCGAAACTGAAAACAATTAGGTTGTTTTTTTCTATCCTTATTTTATACATGGTGAAAACTCACATCTGAATTAGACCTCACCTGAGAAGTGTGCCCCTCAATCAAAGCTTTTGATAACTGCACGTCAGGAAAAAAACCAAAAAAAAAACAAGTTACTTTTGAACATCCCCTGTGCAGCTGCTTTTTTCTCATCTATTGTTTCCAGAATTTACTCCTATTAAATGAAATCAAAACCCACTCTCTGCCAAGCACAGCATGGCTGGAAGGACCAGAGAGCCAAACAATGAAATAAGAAGGTCACCATTTATTTGCTCGCTAAAAGAGTTTTCTACTTCTTAATTGCAGGTCCAGTCAATGAGAATGGGAACCACCGCTGGTTTGCACAGTGTGAGTACTGCAAACATATAAAATAGAAGAATCTTGTGATTAGATTGCTAATGGTGCCGATTTTGGTATCTGCTTTGCATTTTTAAATCTTTTAGACATCTGCATTTTATAAACAAGTTTGAGCAGCATTTCTTCGTCTTTAAAAAATCCTACAGCACTATTACTTGTTGAAGTTTAATAACTATTTATTCGATTTCTGAAAACAAAAACAAAACATTTCAAATTTTTTTTGGCCTTAGATTTCAAAAAGATGAGAAAACACAATATGCGTACTGGTAAAGGCTAAACAGGAAGACAACAGATGGTCTAAAAGTAATTATCTAACTGTCTGTCTATCTAATTATGCACATAAAGTCATGTTAGGTACATTTCTGAAAGGTTACATAATACAAGCAGTTTTGGTGCAGAGTGGGCTTTGTTATGGGAGTAGGTGTGTGTTTATCAGTGCGGCAGGAGGAGGGGGCTCACCACTCTTACAAGAACCGCCTCACAACATATGTTGTTGTTAACAAATTATCTGTTGTTTTAAAAAATTCAATTAGATAAACACACCTTTTAAATATCTGCAGTTGATGTTGTGGTTCAAATGGATTTTAAGAGGCGTTAAACTGCTTTGCTCTCATGTGAGGACTCATATGTCTATCAAACTATCATTGCCCTTCCAATCAGGAACATGTGCACGTTTTCCAACTGAAAACCTCTGAAGCTAAAGAAACCAGGGTCAAACTGATTTCTTAATACTTGTCTTCGTCACCAAACCTGTCCATTTCCCCAAGCTACTGTTATCACTATAATCTCCTCTCACCCTGCTCCACAGCTGGCTTGGGTGTGATTGGCTATCCAGGGGAAGACACAGTCAGTTGCTTAGATCTTATGCTTTTTGATGGATAGCCTTTTGACCTTATTATCAGTACTATCACAGTAGCCATGGCTCAGGTTGTGTACATTTGTCCCCTCCTTCTCATCTGTCTTTCAAGACCTGATCATCAAAAAACATGACCCAGCGAGCTAAAAGGCCAGATATAATCCTCGTCTGTATCAGAGGAGACACTCAAGAGAAAAGACTCTGTGAATAATTAATTGGATCTGTTTTCTCGGTTAACAATATTTATCTCCAGAGGTTTTGCAGAATGCTCCGTTTTTCCAGCAGATCTAAATTTCCACATACCGCAGCAGCGCATTTGTGTCAAGAGCTTAGCCAGGCGTGAAGACTTTCTTTTTTGTGCAGAAGATTGTGTGCGCATGTCAGAGTGCTGTGGAAAGCTACAGCATTCTTCTTTTTTAATGATACTGTTAAAAAGTCTAAAAGCTAATCACTTACCCAAGCAGCTTTAGCTCTCTGATAGTTTGGACCTCCATACTTTATAAATGTTTAGCTTTGAAAGTCACAAACTTGCACTTTGTGGGCTGTAGATGAATTCGATTCAATCCTAAGCTGTTTAATGAAACAGGCAGCATAACATTTCCCACACAATCCTTTCCCGGAAAAGGAAAACAAGTCTGTTCTTATAAATCTATAGTGAATGCAAATTGGTGTGTCAATTCTCTTTCAAAGTGTCACCTGCAAAGCTTGTGCAAATGATTTGTAGAATAGACCTTTCCTGTTCCAGATGCAGCTTCACAACCCATGAATACTACAGCTCGATGATGCATAACGCTTAAAAGTGAGAGTATGACTGAATAAAGGACATTAATAAAAACATAAATGTAATAAACAATAGTAATGCATAGATATCAGTGTTTTTCTGTTTTTTCCTCTTTAACTGGATTCTGCTCTAAACCCATGTTTGGATTGTTTGAGGCTATAATTAGTGCTTCCTTGTAGAGGGACCTCATGTTACTCCAAGACATGTACTGTAGATCTTGTAAATGAAAGAGATCTTAAAACTGTAGTAAGAATAACATTGAGTCAGATGACTTCACTATTTCATCTGAGAGAAGAAATGTGGAAAAAGCAAACTGAAATGTTTTTGCATCCATGGGACCATATTTATTGCATGTTATCTATCAGTTTTTCATTTATGCTTTTGCATTGAAGTTGGTATATTCTTATTTCCCGACATTTTTTTGTTGTTGTTGTTGTGTTGGGATGATCTCAGTAGGCTCACCCAGAAAAACTTTTAGCATAAGAACGTGAAAGTTGGCTGTCAGTAAATTTGTCATCCTTTATCTGGTGGGACACCCTCTGTTTTACTTTCATGAATGTCATATTGGCGATATTGATCCCTGTGATTCATTGATCAGCCCTATCAGCTGACTTGAAGCCAGCCAGAATCTCCACCATGCTGAGGTCTGGAAAAGCACCAGAATGCAAAATATCCTTGATGTCATCCTGGAAACGTTTGCAAAATCCAAAAGTTTACTCCATGCTAGACAAGCACAGAGCAGACTAACAAGTTGCTGCTGATGAAGTGGATTGATAAAGTCAACAGAGTCGACCTACTTAATCTTAGAATAGGAACAAGGAAGTCGTTCAGCAGACAAACTGTAATAACCATATCAGTGTCACTGATACAGATTGTCATGGATATAAACATTTACTGTTTCAGTTACTCTAAACACTTATTTTATAGAAGGAGGTGCAACTAAGAAGATTAAAACAACTGCTTAGCAGAAAGATCAGAAAAAAGGGTGATATTACACAAGCATAATGCACAAGTCAATAAACCTTGTCATGTTGATTTTTTTGAAATTTTGAAAGTTTATACAGCATTTCTGTATTTCTCTATATAGCTTTATTAGGTTTGATCAGCCGGTAGAATACAAGGTTTTTAAATTCCAAACACTGCCTATGTTATACTGTCTCACAATAGGAAAGACTATAATAGAATGTGTTTATTTTTAATCCCATATGGAGGAGCTTCAAATGGTGGCTGCCTCAGAATTAATACATTTTCCAATCGCTGCATATTATGTTATATAAAATGATACATTTTCGAGTTACTGTTCAAAAAGCATATGACAGAGGGGTCAAAGGGCCTCCTGAACATCCCCGCCTGCAATGAGAATCTCACTGCAGTTGTTCTTTGTCCAATCAGGTTGCTTCTCAGGAGGGAATGTTGTTCTCCTCTATAAAACGTAACTTTTCTTTTCTGCTGCTCCACCACTTTTCTAAGAGAGTCCCTTTTACTACCCATTACAAAGCTGGCCATTTTCACCAGTTTGTTGAGATGCATGGAGATGTCTTTTTGTCTATCGCACCACTACCCCATCAGATGACAGCCCAGAACAGTAAGCTTTCAATGACAGTGGATAAACACTACACAGCATGTCGCTGCCAATTCGTTGAAGTACCTGAGCTGTCTCAGAAAGTGACAGCTCTTTCTCTTCCTGTACACTGTGGATATGTTGGCAGACCACTCTGGTTTTTTCAACACGCTCCAGCGCCGTGGTGTCAAAACTTGTGTTAAACTCTGCAGTTTTCTGACATCTTAAATAAAGTATTTTATCGTGAATAACTTCTTGGAAAGTATAGTAATCTATATATGAATTGAAATTAGGGGTCAGGGTGCTGGTTGATTGACTAAAGAGTCAAACTTGATCACAAGTTACCTAAATATCTCACAACTGTCTGCTTGTCCTCATCATCCTCCTGTCCCCAGAGACCAACTGTAATAAGTAGTCCCTGTAACTGGCAGTCTGTTTAATGTCAGACTGATATCTCTATCAGACAGGTCTAGCACGATTCTACTACAGCAGGCAAAGTCAGTTTTTTTTTTCCCATCTTTATTAGATTTTATCATACTGACCTTGCAGAAAAGTTCAGCATGACTTTTGAAACCAAAAGTGTTTGCCAGGGTTTGCAAAAAATTGGATCTACATCAGGTGAGAGGACAGAGCTCTATATCCTCCTGCATGATCAATGCTATAAGATTACTGGCCAGGAATGGCTTCCATGAAGCAAACGTTGATATTGAGTATGGTTGTGTGATAGATATTTGTTAAAATACATTTTAGTACAATCAGGTATCTTTGGCATTGATCAGTGTTTTATGAAACAATGTATTATTTTTTATTTAAAATAAAATAAAAAAAGGTACTATTGTCTTGGCACCAGCTTTGTGAATATAGGTAATAACTAGAAACCTTTCATTGGAGGGAAACATTTTCATATACGTTCTGATGAATCATGCACACTCCATCAAGGATGAGTTTAGGTCCAACCACTTAAACATTGTTAGACCAAGATCAATCCCAATACCTCAAATCAGTAAGGACACTTAAGCTAAGGTGGAGGAGCGTAGGTTGTCACAATAACAAGTGCAATAAAAATTATGCTGGCAGTAATGAACGAGTTAGGATGAGGAGAAAATATCCTTCTAATTATCGATTAATGAAGCACATGCTTAATGAATGGCTGTATAACTGTTGCTGTAGCCACTGTTGGGAGCCATATGTTTTCCTACAATCCTTCGCCAGGATATTTAGACACAGCCCACCTCATGAATTTTAGTAAATATACATTATTCTCACTTTTCATGTGCTCATGACACATGCTAATGCAAACACCTTCATATGTTTGAGGTTTTATAATGGAAGTGTCTATATTTTGCTACATATGTGTTAGTTTTGTTTTTTGAATTTTTTTATTTTTATTTGTTTTCCAAAAGGCTAGTCTAAATTTGACCAGCATCTTTCATGTCCGTGTCTGTTGTGCAAAGACTTCGATAAGGCTGAAGGCCTTTCAGATTCAGAACAGCAGTCCAGAGCTCCTAGCATTTTTGCTGAACCCATTAAAGGTGAGAAGATAGGAGCTAGGAATGTGAGCTAAGAGGTACAATTTGAGGTATTTGAACCAAGCCATTGTGTTGAAAGTTTTATATTCAGGGCATGTATGCACTTCAGATACTGTCTCACAAGTGAATGCAGATTTGATCGCTGTTTGGTGATGTTATCAAAAAAGGAAACTGCCACCCCTCTCACTGTAACTGGAAGATATAACAATAGATGGATTCTTAAACATCTGCAAACACAGCAGCAGGCTTATTAACATGTTTGGA